TTGTGCTGCCGGTATTACCGACCTTGGAGATATTCTCGTTCATGTTGAACCCTTGACCAAACCAGCTACAAAGGTTGTTTTGTCGGGAGTTCCTTCCTTCATTCCTAACAGCCTAATAGAATCGCAACTAAAAGTATATGGTAAAATTGTTAGTTCAATTCGAATGATACCACTTGGATGTAAAAAACCTGAGCTACGCCATGTTATGTCCTTTCGTAGGCAGGTTTACATGGTTACAACACATGAACGATTGGATGGTATTTTAAATGTAGTACACAATGAACGAACATATCGTATTTATTTGTCGACAGATGAACCAATCTGTCATAAATGTTCTCAAAGAGGTCATATACAACGAAAGTGCCCTTCTGTTGGCGCAGTAATCGATAACGACGCAACTACTACTGATAAAACAAATACACAACTTCCTTTGAATAACACACAAAATACTAACAAAACAAACGCTTCCAGTGAAGTCGATATGGAAACGCAAACTACTGAAAATGAAAAACACGATGAAAACGATAAAACTGATGAAAACATTAAACCCGGTGAAAATGATATGAATAACGAAAATAATGAGTGTAATAACAGTGTTCTCCCCAGGAATTTAAACCACTGTGGCAGCCTAATTTGCATATAATTTGCATATCATTTACATAATAATAGAAATTGACCAAAGCACATTTACACCCACACAATAAACAACATATATTTAAAAAACAAAGTGGCATATATTTATTTGCTTCACACAGTGTTATAAACACTTTTATTTTGGGCACTTTTGTAATATTAATGAGCTCCGTCACAGTGCAAATATATTTTTTTTTGGAGTCAAAATATTACGTTTCACAATTTAGAAGAGTTTGAATTTAAAAATTTAACATTCCCGAAATGCAAATGCTGCAGACTAAAAAGAAACAAATAAATTGTAAAAGGTTAAATGAAACTAATTTGAAACGTTTGAGCCAGGATTATGTTCACGACTTTCATGATCTTATTTACTACAAAATTC